CATCTCCAAAGGTGAGTCATTTATGCACAGAGAAGTGTGGCTGTGTTTGCCTTTTCTGAAATCAACAATGATCTCTTTGGTTTTTCCTGTATTTAAAACTAGGCTGTTTTCCTTACACCAGTTCATCAACCCTTCAAACTCCTTGCGGTAAGCTTCCACCTTGTCATCCTGAATAAGGCCCACTACTGTTGTATCATCTGCAAACGTCACAATATGGTTGGTGACAAACCTATCACAACAGTCATGGGTCAACAGGGTGAACAGCAGCGGACTTAAGACACAGCCCTGAGGAGAACCTGTGCTCAAGAAAATGGTATTAGAGGTATTTGTTCCAACTCGCACATATTGAGGCCTGTTGGTAAGAAAATCAAGAATCCAGTTGCTCAAAGGAGTGTTTAAGCCTAAAAGGCCCAGGCCCAGACTGGAACAGCCATTTCAAACTTTTTAGTTCTTTTCAACCAGACATACCCTTCTGAGATTCGAACCTGGGCTGTCTGCATGTTAAGCAGATGTATTAACCTCTAGGCCACAGGTTCTTTCTCACTTTGTCAGCTATGAGACAGGGGGGAAGAATTATCTTGAGTTTGGTGCACCCTGTCGGCCCAAATATGGGAGAAAGGATATATAAATCTTACCAATTTCTAACTTAAAAAACAAACAATAATGGCATTAGCTTTCTATGTATAGCCCGTTCTATTTAGAGTAGTCAGATACATATGTAAAGAAGGAATTAATATACATATACCGGAGAAACGTTAGCTCTTCTTTCATCAAAATTAAAATCAGGTGCACTGTTTCCTTCAGGGTCAAATAACCAGCATGTTTCCATGTATAACAAAAGAACAGTATAAATGTTCCTTACCTATTTATTTACTTAAGATTGAAATAGTCAAAATCAAAATTACAAAATACAAATGCTTACTGAATTGTAATACGATTACTTGGTGCATGTTTAATCTGTTCTTGTAGCATTATGCAAAATTGCAGCCTGTTTTCTATTCTAAAAGTAGCAACAGTCTATGACTTTTGATCACAAAATGTGTTTGTGTGTGCTGGAGTGCTCCTACACACCTTTACAACATGTATAGATATATTCACCTGCAATTTGTTTAAAAATGCAAACTGCATCCTATGAAGCTCACAAATTATGTTATTCAATCTTTAATTAGATCTTTTTATTCAGCAAAAAACAAAAGCACTGGACTGCAGCCATAGCTTCTCTAAAAAAAGTCTAAAAGACTGGTGAGAAGCACTTGTGGAAATAAAGTTGATGCTAGAAGTGTGTGTGTGTGTGTGTGTGTGTGTGTGTGTGTGTGTGTGTCCGATGTCACCAAAAAAGAGGACCATGGAGATAATGGAATGGTGCCTGCTCACACCTAACTAAGGAGTCTTTGGTTTAAATTTCATCTTGCAGAATAAATTTAGGCAAATCCTACTTTCTCAACCTGAGTTTTTCCTCTTCCATCTTGTGCTGCTTGCAACTGTGTGTTTATATTCTTTAAGAACTCAGGGAAAACATTAAGTAAAGGCTACATCTAATTAGTGAGGCAACTTTATTTGAAATCAAGCTTAGCAAAAAGTATGTGCTTGCCCAGAAAGAGATCACAAAACAGTAAACAACATTGTTTTTATAAGCCTGGGCTAGAACAGCCGCCAAATCTTTTCTTTCCCTACTCAGAAGAACATTTTTGCATATCAATAGACTCATCCTGTATTAACAGACCTTTAAAAGATAAATCCAAATTTAAGGAAGGAAGGACAGAACTGTTGACACTATAATGTGCTGAAAGATACTTTATGCTCCTTAAAATATCATGGAATCAATATGTATGTACTGACATTCTTGGAAAATAGGGACCATTAAATTATTTATGAAAGTTGACTATTTTTATTCACATTTCCATTTGAATCTGCAGATATTCAGAACAGTCTGAGGCAGAAACAATGCCTAACATATATAACTAACATTTCCAAAATCTTTTCTTAAATTCTTTTTCCACATTTGGTCTGAATGAACTAAATTGATAAATGCCTAACTTGAATTCTGTGATATGAATATTCTATATATATTTAGGCAGGCTCTAAAATAGGGCATTACAGATATTCTGCATTCTTATACTTGAGGCAAAGTCCAAAAATAGGGCTTTAAAGAGATTCTGCATATATTCAGTACTCAAGCTCCCCTTAACTAAAGCTTTTTCCGCTTCAACCATTTGAAAATCATTCTTAGATATTCCCAAATTGGATTTGTCTTGAAGTACTTTAGTAATGCTTAAGAGCTTTCCTTCCACAGCAAAACAAATTTGGGTGGCCATGAGAGGGAAATCGAATACATATAAAGTCCAAAGTTTATTTTTACATACATACTGACAAGGGTAGCTGAAAAATCACATAGAGAATTACCTAATATCCATTCAGCTGCTGGTGAAAGAAAACTATAAATAAAATAATGCATCTCAAGTAGGATGTTGTACGTCCAATACTCAATGGATCCACATATTTATGTAAGCAATCTATTCAACTTTGATTTACATAATCATGCTCCAATCTTTCATTCTGGCGATATTTTCTGCCAATAGATATATTTATTGCAAGTATAATTTCATTTGTCTGTTTACTTTTATGGAAGTTCTTCAAAGCAATCAATGAATGCAAGTGCTATCAGGAAAAATGTTTTAAACCTATAATATTTTAGCAACATTTTGTTTCTATTTTGTGAATAGAAAAGAGTATTTTCCTGTATATTGAAAAAAATGTTCCTGAAAGTGGGTTAAAAAGCAAGTTAAGAACAGATGTAGCATAACCAGTTAATTCTTTGGTTCTCCAGATGTGAAAGAAACCCAGGCAGAAAATAGCCAGAGTTATTTATTTATTTATTTATTTATTTATCAAATTTGTACCCCGCCCTTCTCCTAGTGGACTCAGGGCGGCTTACAGCCAGTTAAAACAGATAACAATACAAAATACTAAATTTAAAATGTAATTAAAATGAAATATTAATTATTGGCCGTTTCTTTTTAAAATTATTTTAAAACCAAATTAAAATATAAAAGACTTCCCCCACCCCAAAAAATTAGAAAATTATAATTTACAAAGCAAAGAAAGATTATAAGTGTTCAAATATTAGGTTGTGAAAATTCTTATCTCTGGAGGCCAATAGACTTTTGAGAATCTTCTTATTCAGGTAAACATTAGTTTTTAGGCAATATAAAATATATTTGGAGTTGCCTGCTATAAATACACACAACACATACACATACAAACAAACACACAACCATGTTCTTTTCTTTCAGTCTTGTTCTTTAAAAAATAATGTGCAGTTTTAATAGTGGCAAATGCAGCATTAAAGGGGAGTACATACATTTTCAAAAAAAAAGTTTGTATTTGAAATATGCTTGGGCTCAACAAGCAAAAAAAAAGAAAAGAAAAGAAACCTAGAAGGAATAATAAAAGCTTGCAACAAATGGAATGTACAACTTCAATGCCCAAACACATCCATACTGCATCTTATTTCTTCTTGAATTAAGATGATTTATTTTGGTGTCTACTTGGTACTCATTCTACTGTGGCATTTACCCGAGTTATTTTGAGAATGTGGACTTCACATTCTTAACAATGACTATGATAGCTAGAGAATTCTGGGAGTTGAAGTCCACACATCTCGAAGCTTCCAGCTTGGGAAAAAAATGATCTAGAAGATATTGTGTCTTACTTATCATTTTCTTAAATCAAAGATAAGTGATTCCTTTGAATAAAGCTTGACTGATTCTTGATAACCACGGTATCCATGAAGTTTTCTTGGCAAACAGTCAAGTATTTTTATCCTTACTTTCTTCTGTCTTTTGTTTTTTGTTTTCCACTTTCTAACCTGTATTTCAGCTTTGATAGTCCCGTTCAAATATTAAGCCCTGCTTCACTTTCTCAAAATCAGATAAAATTAGCTATGTTCTGCCATTTACTTAGTGATATTGTGTGTTTGCTTCAAGTCTGTCTTAAATCTTGACAACTGCCTGGACAAGTCAGTGCAGTTCTCTTGGCAAAATTTGCTGAAATGGTCTGCCCTTGCCTTCTTTTTGGGCTGAGAGTGAGTGACTGAGCAGAGGTCAACACCAGCTGGCTTTGTGCCTAAGGCAGGACTAGAACTTCCAGTTTCCCGGTTTCTAGCCTGGTGCCTTAATCACTACACCAACTAGCTGTCTACTTATCAGTACAACTGTGTGTGGGGAAAAATACCATAAATTGAAGTTATCCTACAAGTGTTACAATATACATTCTGCACCTATTAAGCTAAAATTCATAGCTATTTCATAAGATCATTTTCTATGCAGCAATGGGCATGTTGTTAAAGAGGCAGCAAAATGAATAAGGGTCCACAGCTGATTACGCTTAAAGAAGAGCCTGTAAAAGAATATTTTTTCTCCTAAGGCTATGATAAAAAAAAAAACAAGCAGCAATAAAATATCAAAACTCTGCCTCCTTAGCTTTTTCAATTTTCAGCACAACCAGACAAGCGTCAAATGTTATATTTAATCACACTGTGCTTTAATTCCAGTCTTAGTTTTTATTATTATGATTCAACTTTCATAGTTTCAACTATCTGATCCAACGATAGCTTGTTTAACTATACTGTTAAAATGTAGAAGGTAAAGAGATGCTTTTCTGTACAAACGTTTAGCCTTCTGGGATTCTGGATTTTTTGATTCCAAATGTAACATCTTGCAAAATCATCAGGAATTCCTGACTTAGCACAACAAAATTTAAAGACAAAAATTACAACCGCAACTAACATGGGCAACTTTACAGTCCTGTGCTGGAATTATTACCTGACATTCTCCTTAGATACTGTATGTGGGATATTTTGAAAAGCAAACATCAAAAATGTACATTGAAGGAAGGAAGGAAGGAAGGAAGGAAGGAAGGAAGGAAGGAAGGAAGGAAGGAAGGAAGGAAGGAAGGAAGGAAGGAAGGAAGGAATTTCCCAGAAGTATATAAACAAAAACAGAATTTCCTACCCGTAAAAGTGATTGAGACTCATCCTTTGACTTGTTATCAGCAGATCCAGGATATGGCTGAAGTGGTCCAGGTTTTTCTCCACTTCCTTGGGGCATGCCTTGCAGGAATCCCTTGGTCTCAACAGGCAAGCTATATACAGGCCTCGCAAGATGAGCAGCTTCTACATTTGGACTATCCCTCAAAGCCTTTGGCTGCTCTTGGACAACAGACACCGTGGTCAGAAGGCCCAAGCTTGTTTGGGTATAGGATGGGCTTCCTCTCAAAATGTCCACTCCTCTCCAAGTTGTACCACGAAGATCATCACTAGACCCATCAGGCCAACCTTTCTCCTTCGATCCTTCTTTTTCCTCCATCTTTTCCTTCTTCACTACACTCTCCAAGATGGGGTCCCCCATTTTTGGATCCGAACTGATCAGGTTATAAACCTTCAGATCAATTTTGGATTCTTCCTTGAGAGCAGCCGCCATCCCATGGCTATCTTCCCCATTGGCTGTGGTGATGTCCATTTCTTGACAGTGCACAGTGTTGAAGTGTTCCAGTAAGGACTGTGTATCAAGCGCTGTAAAGCTGCACTGACGGCATTTATAACAATTATGGACTCTCCTGATAAGAGAGAAAAACAGAGGAGAAAATATTAGAGTAAGTTCATCTATCGTGACCAAATGAAGAGAAATGAATTATTTCCACATCTGGTGGACTGCAAGCCTTTCAGAATTGGGTGAAGATAAAAACTTGTCTAAGTCAACCTTGGGTACGTGAAAACATCATTTGTTCTTTGAAATCTTACTTGTTGTTATTAAGATAATGGTTTCTTGTTGCCTTCTTTCAGGTTCTATCTATCTATATTTAATTTCCCAATCTAGCACAGGGGCCATTCCCTACTGGTCTCCTTTCCAGTTACTAACAGGCCAATCCACCTCAAAGGATTATTGTTGTGGGAAAAATAGGAGGAGGAAGGTTTGTTGGATATATTTGCTGCTTTGAGTTACTTGTCAAATAATTTAATTTACACTGTGATATTCACTTTTCATCCATTCAGTATACAGATAGTCGTTATCTTACAAAAGTTCATTTAGTGACCATTCAAAGTTACTTGTCAAATAATTTAATTTACACTGTGATATTCACTTTTCATCCATTCAGTATACAGATAGTCGTTATCTTACAAAAGTTCATTTAGTGACCATTCAAAGTTGTAACAAAACTGAAAAAAATAACTTATGACCACTTTTCACATTTCCGACCATTGTAGCATCCCCATGGTCATGTGATCAAAATTCAGATGCTTGGCAATTGGCTCATATTTATGATGGTTGCAATGTCCTAGGGTCACGTCATCCCTTTTTGAAACCTTCTGACAAGCAAAGTCAATGGGGAAGCCAGATTCACTTAACAAACATGTGACTAACTTAACAACTGCAGTGATTCACTTAACAACTGTGGCAAGAAAAATTGTAAAATGGGGAAAAACTCATTTAACAGAAATTTTGAGGTCCATTGTGGTTGTAAGATGAGTATCTAAACTTAATGAACTTCTGATCTGCCTTTCATTGTTTTTCTTTCCTGTGCTTTGCCTTTCTCCTTCCTTCTTGTTTTATCCTATTTAAATGCAGGAACATATGAATATTTCCACAAAAATATCAGTAATAGTTATGGTTTTATTGACAGAGAATCAATGTCCTCAATACATGTATTAAATTATTTAACTCTACACTTATAAGTCAATTAAGGTGCTTGATTATAAACTTTTAACAAGTGAATATCAAAAATGAGTGTTCAAAAATTAGTTTAATATTTTTTTTAATTTCCTCTGATTAACTATTTCCTATGTTTTTGTTTTACCCTGATGAAAAAACAACTAAGCTGCATTTATTCATTTATTCCATAGCACTAGGATGAAATAAGTGTATTAGGAAAAAAGAGGAACTTTTATACACCTTGAATTTCTGAGACACTGAATATATAGGAATTGTAGTTCTGTTCATCTATAGAATACAACTGTTTGGTGTCCTTATTCAACTAAAGAATACCATTATAGCTCTTTTCATCTAAAGCAGGGGTAGTCAACCTTGGCTCTTTTATGACTCGTGGACTTCAACTCCCAGAATTCCTGAGCCAGCACAGCTGGCTCAGGAATTCTGGGAGTTGAAGTCCACAGGTCATAAAAGAGCCAAGGTTGACTACCCCTGATCTAAAGAATAGGTTGCCAAAATCTGTTAAAAGTGTTGAAAACTATTGTAGGAAACTATGTTTTCCCTTATTCCTCCCTGCTGAGAAGAATGAGACATATAAATTCATGAGATACAAAAGATCAGCAGGGGAAAAAGAAACCAAGAAATAAATGGAGAATTCATGAAAATTACATGCAACACTATTAGTAGTAGTCTGGCTTCTCAAATAGGAGATTTCCAGTGTTAATATTAATTATAACATTTAGGAAATTTTGCTTCCTCTACCACATTACAGACTTTTAATCTGATATTCTTGTTTTAAAGGTAAATGAATGTATTATTTTTCTTGAATAATGAGAATATGAAAAAGGTCAATGCCAACTAGTAAAAACAGCTAATCCCTGGGTTTTTTTTTCCCCTCCTGAGATCTGAACACAAAAGGGGGGATTACATTTATTAGAACAGAACAGAAGAACAAATAAGAAATTATTAAAATCTACCTATTTTTCATATAATTTTGTAAAATCTGCTTTTAAAAAAATCACATTTCCTTCAAAGATTTTGAATAAAAAGTGAGCTATGAGGAAAGAAAGATTTATTCACTTTGTTAGAAAAAAGCATTGGGATATATCATAAAATTGACAGGTTAAGAGAGGTTAATCAGTAGACTAGAATAGTATTCTAGTCTACTGATTAACCTTAAAAGTATTCTATTATTGACCAAGTGTGATTGGACACACAAGGATTTTTTTCTCCTGTGCATAAACTCTCAGTGTACAAACAACAAAGTAATATAATCATAATACTGATAACCTATAAGAGAAGGTAGTAAAAAAAAGATGAGAAGGATAATAGTAATACAGCCATACTACATGGATAAATATCCATAGACATAAGATGGTACTATGGTAATTAGATGGTCAGGAAAGTGATGGCATGAGGTTAAAAAAACCTATCTCTGTGTCTAGTTTTTTTTGGCATGCAATGCCCTATATAGTGTCCTGAGGCGAGGAGTTGAAACAGTTTATATCCAAGATGTGAGGGGGTCTGTAGATATTTTTTCAGCCCTCTTTCTGACCCGTGTAGTGTACAGGTATTCAAGTAGGAACTATGGGTGGGAGAATACAGCTACTGTAAAGTAGACCTTGTCATGACATTCCTCCATCCTCTTAGTTAGAAGAACACTGGCAAACTTTGCTCACTTAACTCCCCTCAGGCTATATTAGTATTGCAACTCTCATAATTTCTAGTCAATATAAGTTATGCCAACTAGAAATTCTAGAAATTGCACTTCTAACACATGTAGAAGGTTCCAATTTGGGGAAAAGGCTGCCAGAGAATCTTTTATATCTTGTTCTTATATGAGATTCTACTTGAATCTAATTTATTCCTTTTGCCTACCTTATTCCAAACATTCCAATAATTAGTCACTGATCTTGAGAACATTGTCAATCTTCTCATGCTACTTTAGTTAACATTATATTTTTCCTGGAAGGGGAGGTTTTTTCAAGTTTCTTTTCTATTAATTTTTTGATAGAAAATAGTTTTTCTCCCCCAGGCAACCATATCTCTGTGTGGATGGCAAACTTCGCCAGTTGCTGTACATTCAATTATTAGTGGGACTTTCAAGAAAGTGTTAGTTAGCCTCTGTCTCTAAATATCATACAGTTAATACTAGTGAAAGGAGCTTACACCTATACAAGCATAAAATTCTTTTTATAAGTACTATGTTTAGTTTTTTATTCATGTAGGGTCCTTTATGGAATGAGAGTGATGCCTAGGTTTAGCTAACAAATTCTAGAAGCCTCTTTATTCTTTCATTTCTATAACAAAAGACAAAGCAGGAACTACAACTTTACTCCAGAATGCCAATATGCTATTTGTGGATGTGATGAGGAAGGTCATAAATTTGACATCTCTCATCTCTCCTTTGGCATATCTTATCCCCACTCACTGAAAGGCAAATCTGTTGATTTTTCTATGTATAAAACCAGTGGTGGGATTCAAATATGTGAACAACCGGTTCTCTGTGTGGATGCCGCTTTCGGAAGTCCATTCTGGGCCTGGGCAACAAAAAATTAGCTACCAGTTCTGCCGAACAGGTGCGAACCGGCTGAATCCCACCACTGTATAAAACTGCACTAAGGAACTAAAAGAGAATTAGACCTAGTCTGCCCTCCTAGCAGTTTTAAAGTATGCAAATGAGATTAGATTAATAGGTACCATTTTGGTGGGAAGGTAACAGCATTCCATGTGCCTTTGGGTATAGCCATACTGGCCCCATGACCACAGAAATGCTGGTTCCCTCAGCCAAGAAACGGAGATGAACACCATCCCCTAGAGTTGGACACGACTGAACAGGGAAACCTTTACCTTGTCCCTTTAGCCCTTGACCAGCGGACTGGCACAAAACAGCAGGGCTGTAGGCTAAAACAGGACATAAAAATAATAAAAACAATAATCCTGGGAAAAGGTAGAGGTAAACCTTTCCATACTTCTGGCAAGAAAACTCATGCTTATGTCCATATAGTCATCAAAATTAAGGTTGAACTTGAGAATCTTTTATATCTATAAATCTGATGATTTTATTTCTCAGTCTGTTTTTCTGGTGCCGATAATTCACAAATGAAATCTTTTGAAAAAGAAGAGCTTTCTAATTCAGAGATGAATATGCAAAGAAAGTTGACACCATTGCGTAACTACTATCTCCTTCTCCCCTTCCTTCACAGATACACGCACCTGCTTTGAATTCCCTCACAAGGATCTTATTTTTACAGCATCTGGACATTGTGTCTCTGCTGCTCAGCCCATCATAGCAAACGGTCTCACTTTCCCTACTAGATAGATAGGCTGAGTTGGAAATATAGGCTTAAGCTTAGATAAAATACTTGTGAGGCAAGCAAAGGAACCACCATTTGTAGCTACTTTATTGAAGGGATTAAAATACAAAGGAAATATATATGCAAACATATGCATGTACTACTTTTCAGGGCTTTTTTTTGTCATAGAACGCCCAGAATGGAGTTCCGGCACCTTTTTGGAATGGAACCTTGTTCCAGTTCCATACTGCATCCAGGCAAGGCGGGTTGTATGATGTATGTGAGTTCTGGCACCTTTTTTTTTTTTTTAACAAAAAAAAGCACTGCTACTTTTGAATAAGAAAATGGTAAGCGAAGTAATTACCTTTTTTAAAAAATGTAATTTAAGTATGCTGGAATATAAACACTTCATTACAAAGAAGTGTAATGGAACAGCCAGATACTGGCATTAAGATAGGATGGTTGGGTTGTTTTTAAGGGTGGGAGAGGAGAGAAAATAGGAAAAAAGTGAGAGTTCCCCAAAATTTTGAAACTCTTCACAATTACTACTATCTCTAAATTATGAATAGGGAAACAGAGGAGAATCATTACAGTTGAGAAAACTAATTTTGTT